TCCATAAGGCAAAATTTGAATCAATAACAAACGATCACAACCCAAAATAAAATGATAAAAAAATAAGGCTTGGAAAGGGTTCCTTGAAGAGCTGCAGAAGACAATTAGGCGGTGACAGGACAATTGCTGGTGTAAACCTTACTATAAGTGGTATGAGTTCGTTTTTGCAACCGGGCCGTGTTGTTTGGATGACTTAATTGGACGTACCTTGTCCAAGGTTCTCTGCCATAGTAAGTATTCTAACTCCTAGCATCGTACTGTTGACGTGGTACATTCCTAGACGCTTCGCTGGCATGGTTACTGAGTCTTGCCATTCTCAGTATCAGGCTACAACTCATTAGAGACACAACTTCTGGACATAAAAAGGAGACTGCGACCAAAATAGGAGCCACAAAGTCTTGGTCTCCATATTTATGTTAAAACCTGACTAATATATAAGAACGATGGTTTTAAAAGATTTTAAAATCAGCCAAAGCAGGCCAATAAGTTAAAAAAGAAGAACGAAAGACTGATAGACTAAGATTACCTTACAATGGTTGTTAATCAATGAATCGGCGGCTGCAATGCTTCCTCTGACGGAGGCTAAGGAATATTCATAGAGTGAAGTAAATCCAGGACAGTCGTAAAATAAATTATATTCGTCAAAGAAGTCTTCGTTTTCTTTTGTCAGGATTGGTTCATCATCATCAGAGTAAAGTCTACTTAATCGTTCTACAGCTGCTATGTATTCTGAACTAAAAACAAAAAGTAGAGACAGATTAGAGGAACATAAATCTTTATATTAGGAGAGGAAACTGACCTATGAAAGGGAGTAAGCAATTCCATTTCCTGTGGCTCACTAAAGCACTCCACCGGGGGAATGCGCAAAAGATGGTCAACCAGTCCGTATGCATTCAAGAGGTCCATTACTAGCGAAAAACGATCCTCAAACTTGGGCGAAATAGAGGATATTTTTCGGTAAGCATCGGAATACACAATGCCAACACAACTAGACATGTGAAGATAAATCTAAGTATCGCGCTAAACTCTACTAATGATATTTACTATAGAATTACTAATAATTTAAATGACTTGATTAAAATAAATTATAAAGTAAATAGGTTAATTATGAACTTTAGCAAAGCGGCGTTAGAAACGAGGGCTACTTCGAATGCCCAACAGTAGAGTCCGTCGCATTGCACACAAGATTAGATGCAGTAATGTAGATGTAGGTAGGTCATAGTTATAAATTATCCTAAGAATCTGGATACGACTAATAAAGAACAAATCGTTTCTAAGCACGAAGCGCAAGAAATATGGCAAAAACGAATGTCAAATTTGAATTTGGAGGAAGTCCAAGATATATACACTTCGAACGAGGATGCTTCTTTGCTTATAAAAGGTTATGGACTTGAACGCTATAATGAGGTAAAACTGATAAATACTTAAACTATAATCAGGCCAAACACATTATTATGACTTTTGATGGCTTGCGTCCCACATGGCACAGCGAATTTCCAGATGACGAACTTAAGGAACTAATTCTAAGAGTATATAAAATTGAACGGAGAAAACGTTATATAGCTTCTTTTAATCTCTTAAAGCGACCGGGGATCAACGTTGCAAACAATGAGGCAGCCAAATCTCCGTATGTTCTCAACAGCGAGATCGACAAATACTTAACTCCGGGGGACCTTCTTAAGAA